AGATGCTGGATTTGCTGTCACTCACTGAGTCCATACCTCCCACCCTGCCCCCCCAAAAGGGATACAGTTAGATCTCAGTGCAAATGCAGTTAGCGAAACCCTGATCATGATCATGGAGCAGCACCACCTGCCACACAATTGACACACAAATTCCTGCTAGATGACATGAAGGAAATTTAAAGCATCACTAAAAAAATAATTTCTCATCTGGACAGGAAAAAAAGTGCATACTGGCAATTTTGAAGAGGAAACTCCCCTAGCACCAGGATTAAATGTGATGTATAAATTTGTCTCTCAGGTTGCACATGGCATGGAGGTGAATTAAATCACCATGGGTTAGATTCAGGGTTAACTTCACATACTGCAATTGAGAGAGGTGATTGGTGGACTTATTTCACTCTGTACAAGAAAGAGATTTGAATGGCTATTTTAATTTTGTACTGGGCACAAACATTCTTTGAGGTTTGGTTTAAGTAATTATTCAATTAAATAGTAAGTGAATAAATACATCTACCACTTATTAGAGGTGTGATATGCCTAAGGAAAGACAGTCATTTCTTTTTAAAGATGTTACTGTCCTTTATTTGAGGCAAATAATTTTGCTATTAATTAATGCTTTTAAATGATATAAAGTATATTTCTATCCTTGCACACTGTCAGAGGAAATTTAGAATGCCATTAGAATAGTAATGACAATTAAAATCATCTCTTCTTTGTATCATGTCTTAATTATTTCCAGAGATAATTATTTGTAATTATTCAAAATACATTTAAAGATGTATTTTAACTTAAATGAGTATGTATTAGTTTTCTCTATCCCCAAACACTTTAACTACAACTCAAAAAGGGGACCCCATATAACAATAGTGTTTCAATAAAAATTCAATAATTTTCTAAAACTCTGGAGTGAATCAATTCTTTTTTGGCACTTACATGATAGTTACTATGAAGAAACAACAGATGTCATCTCAATAAGCTATAAGTCTAAATTCATTAAATTTCAACATCCCAACTTCATCAAGCTTCAAGTTCTAATACAATGATTTTTTGAAAGTTATCATCACTTTAAAGCTGATGAAAACAAATGCTTGTCTTTTCCTGGGCTTGCTTCCTGCCTCTTCCTCTGCCTCTCTGTGCTTGTTCCTCACTAATCACATGTCACTTACATATCACTTGATTAAGGGAGAGTTGGGGAGAAAGGGGGAGCTTTGGCTTGCTGACTGCCTTTCAGTGGGGTTCTCATTAACCTCCGACTCTTGATGGCAGCACCCTCTTCTGCCTGTGAAAATCAGTGGATGGGGTGAGGATTCCATAAGGGGACATTCACTTATTTTAATCTCCAGTGGATTTTTCTATTGCATAGAACCTTTCATATATTTCAATCCTATAGAGTAGAGATAGTTTGTGAGAGGACAGGAAGGAAGGATGGTGAATTAAAGCATTTTCATATCTCAAAGGAAGTGGTGCACCTAAGTTAAATCATGACTTGGGTCATCAAAATGAAAATATAATTTACTGATGGTTCAAAAATACCAGGGTGAGGTGTCAAATATTTTATTTTATTTGCAAAATGGATCCAAACACACAGAGGTGAATTTTACTAAGTTGCCCTTCTTAAAGCAAGTTTTACCTGGAATGGGTAAATCAATTATTTTGGAGTATGCTACTGACTACATAACGACATAATTAATGACCCTTTGTTTAGTAAATAACCACCTAGGAAGAAAGCAACTCAGAGTTTGGTAAATTAGTGCTAAATCCATGAGCATGGGATCCACAGGAACTGAAGATTATTGATTGAGCAATTTCTATTCTTAGTTTAGTTACATGAATATGGAGCTTACCAGAACTAAAGATTGATTGAGCATTTTTTTACTCAAGTTACTTACATGCCTTTCCTTTATAAAAATTCACTAGAGAAATTGAATATTAGAATGTCTAACAACCTACATTCTTATGTAGCTTTATGTTCATAACTAATCTCTACTTCCCTTCTGCTGGTCATATCAGGTGGAACAAGGCCAACATGTAGCCACTTGGTTCAATCCTAACAATACTCTGTGTATCACTTCCTCTATTTTAGATAACAACTCTTTTGTAAATTAAATAATGGATAAACTTCTCAACACTCACCAGGTACTTAAATTCAAGAAATATTATGCTTTCATACTTTTGCCCAGGATTGGAGCAAATTTCTGTGCCCTTATTAGCTAGCAATCATTAAAACAGGACTGAAAGGTATAAACACATTGCTTTAACAGCACCCTGAGCACTCTGAATGCATTATCTTTGGAAAACAACAACACGCCCACAGTTGGAAAGCCCAGCAAGGAAAACCAAGATATTTCTTGTTTACCTTTATGAACAACAAGCCAAAACCAACTCAAGAGCCCATGCACAAGTGCACCATCAAAAGAGAAAAGCAGACAGGTATTTTAGAAGCCTTATCAACGTGTCCTACAGTTGCCAAACCTTGACGGTGCTCTGCCATTCTAACTGCACCTTATAACACCTACAGGCCACCCTTACAGGCTTTCTATTTAAACTGTGATCACCACCTTCCTCTACTATTGTTCCTCATTAGGATCTGTGTCCCCACAGATCTACTACCAAAGACAAGCAGGCGAGACCAGCTTCTGATGAGGTGAGGGCAGAATGGCTCCACGGACTTACCTGTTTTTCCCTGAATGAATATCCAAACGAAGTTGAATGACAATGAATCCTGCCCTTCTGCACAGTTTCTTCCTTGGTTTACTAAGAGAAACAACTCCTATGCCTGCAACCTTGGATGTGTAGCCAGCTTGCTCACATGCCGGTTTGAGGACCTGCTCACTGGCTCTCACCCCACCCTCTCCTCCTTTTCCAGTTCACCCAGCTCTGCTTAGAGTCCCTGCTTAGAGCCAACAGTTTCTCTGCCCTCTTGGGTCTTAGGACCCTACAACAGGATTGGTTGGCTGGTCTCTCACTAACCACAGTGCTGCCACACACCTTTCTGCCATCTATGCCTAGCAAAAAGTTAGAGAGGGGAGTGGGAGAGGGCGGGGAATCAAAGGATGCTTTTGTAAGCTAAAGAGACTTGGCTGAAGTTAGACAGCTCTCATCAGGGGCCGAGTGAGTGTGTGTGTGTGTGTGTGTGTGTGTGTGTGTGTTTGCTCCTCCCCCCCAACCCTTTCTCCCCAATGACCATATCTTTCCTCCATCCTCTGTTCAGCTCAGATCTTTTGCTCTTTCAGGGTTCTTGATTTTGAATAGTTACTCTGATGCACTGCCATGCATGAAATGGATGATTTGCAAGCTCCTGTGTTCCACATGATTCCGCGGATGTTCTGATAGCCAGATTCTTCTACACGGGCAGGGAACCGTTCTTTGACAGAAAATGATCAGCTTCCTAGGACCAAAGGAGCTTGCTCTCTGGGGCTAAGGACCCGGAGGCTCACCACGGTCGCCTGGGCTCTGGCCTTGGTGCTGAATTAAGCACTTGCTCCCTAGCCACATCGGCGGCCCCGGGAACTTTGGCCCCGTGGGAGAGGAACCTGCCAAGCGCCCTCTCGCGGGTCGTCAACAGGCAGCTGGGCACAGCAGACGCCTGAGATCCTCCACAGGGCACACGGCTGATTATTTCTTTGCCTGGAGCTGGGAAAGTTTTGTCCGGCATTTTCCCCCTGTCACCAGCGCTGCCTTCTCCCCTCCACCTGGGTCGCCATGGAGACTAGAGCTCTCTCTGTTTCCTTCTCCAGGCAAAATGGGGGAAGCTCAGTTAGCTCATCGCTGACTCTAGGAAGCCCCCTTTTCTTTCTAAGCGGTTCCCAGGCATCCCCATTCTCTGTTTCTCAGCGAAAGAAAGGCAGGGACCCGAGCTAATAGGGAGGTGGTATTGCACCTTGTACCGCGGGCTCCCTGGGACCTCAGACTTTGGATGAAGCAGTCCAGTCAGGAGCCACTTTAAACATATTATGAATCTCCAACTCCCAAACGCTGGAGGGTTTTTCCTCTCTCTCTCTCTCTCTCTCTCTCTCTCTCTCTCTCTCTCTCTCTCTCTTTTTGGTGGGGGGGAGGAGGAGAAAGGATTCTTTGGAAAATTCTGGTATTTTGTTTCTCCACTAACCTCACCTCATTTCCGTGGCTGCTTCTCTTAAGATATGCTTACCCCCCAGAGTCTCTCCATATTGAGTCTGGTCCAAAAGATGTACCTGTGGATCCACCTATGTTTTTTGTTTTTTATTATTGGGTTTGGGGAATACTAATGTTTTCTTTTTCAGTTAAAAACTAATTCAAGCTTAATGTCTTGCTGCAAATGAAAATACACCCAGGAGGAAGCAAAGTCAACCAATTCGCCCAACCCTCTAAATGCCATAAGCATCTCATTTTATCTGAAGGGTGTTTTTCCCCTTCCAACTACAGAATAATTCAGTTTACTTCTAGGGAGACCTTCTTGCTCCCTGTTTTTAGTTATCATGTCCACATCTCCGGGTTTACTGATAGAGAGCAGTTAGGAGTTATTCCTCATCTTATTGTCTATTTCTCCCCACCTCTCACTTTTCCTCCTTGTTTTCCTCTTCTCCTCTCTCCTCGTTATGCAAAAGCAGACCAAGGATACAGCTTTGGATAAAGACAATGGGCTTTTCCCGACTGTGAATGACTACACCGCAAGCCTCCCCTGCCAGTTCACGAGTGCATTTCGTCTTTGCCGGCGGAGGTTGAAATGGTGTCTGCAATAACTGACTGGGTTCCTCGGAGCCCAGGGCATGCAGACCCCTCCTCCCCCCGCCCCCCGTGCGAGTTTTCAGTTGCTAATGAAAACCCTATGAAACAGATTTCCCTCGGTTATGTAACCGGCTTCTCCCTTGCCTTTCGGTGGACTTGGGCATCGTGTTTCTCGTCGGAGTGGAGGTGCATGCAGCTGGGGAGGGGGAGTGGGGGCCCGAGGGCACGGAACAGAGAGCGTCTCGCCCGGCTCGAGGCCAGCTTCTCGCCTTCCAGCAACTCGGCGCCCCGCTTACCTGGTTGCGGACAGGGTGGTCTCACTCAATCATGGTCTCTCTTGAGCGGAGCAAGATTTAATCATTCACTCCACGATGGATGGCGAGGGCAGGAAATACACAAACGAGAAGGAAACGAAAAACTGGAAGCAGATGGTCCGACTTCACATCAGCCCCGGGAGGCTGTTAGGAGACTCCATTCTCGCGGTCCATCCAGCTCCGGCTCCAGCTTGCGGGTTCCCGCGGATCCCCACCCTCCGCCCGCCAACCTCTCCAGCCAGGTGCGGCCGTCTTCAGACTGGCTCCCTTTGGCCGAGAGTGGAGCGGAGGGCTGGGCGCTGGGACCGAAGGAGGGGCGGAGGGGTGTGCGTTTGGGCAGGCACGGGGGAGGGCGACCCGGCGGAAGGAAGGGGGAAAAGGCAAGAGTGACAGAAAAAAAATATTCCTGGGTTAGGAGCAAAGTGGTGGACCACGCAGGGAGACGTCATGAGAGCCGCAGATTCAATGAAGGCTACTCAGTTCCAGCCGACTGGCCGAGCCGCGCTGTCAGCTCACCAACGGACGCGACTCCGGCATAACAGCGTGCGCAGCGCCGCGCGCTGGGGAAGTGCGGCCGCACAGCGCGTTCGCGGGAGAAAGCGGGCGGGGGCGAGAGCCGGGAGCTGGACCCCGGGACGCCCACCCCGCCGCCCATCCGCTCTGTTATTTTAGCTTGCGGTGGAGCGAGGCGGGGGAGCCGGCGGGCGCAGAAACCACCCCCCACTCCAGCACGAAACTGGAAACGCGGGTCCTCGACGAACCTTTTGGGTTTAGTTCCCCAGACCCTACCTGTCACCCATGTCACTAGGTTATTCCTGGGGAAACACCTAGGAAGTAGGAGAGTCGAAACTCGCTGATCAGTTTTTGTCTGTTGGTTTTAAGGACTAGGTCTTTAGTTTGGGGAGGGGGCGTGGGGAGAGTATCAGGAGAAAGGGGGTCTGTCTAGTCTCTGGGACTGGGGCTGAAATCCCGGAGAGGTAGCTCCGGGCGCCAGAGCTGGAGCTTGCACGTTGTCCTCTTGGCCGGGAGGGGGAGCAGCGAGCAAGCTAGGTCGGAGGGGAGGGGCCGCACCCCAGGGCTTTCCTTGCACCTGGCAGTGACCCACTCTGCGGGTCCACTCAGTCTGTCCTGTCCACCCCTACTGGGGCGTGGTACCAGCTGCTGCATCACCCCACACCCACTTTGGGTTTCAAGGAGACAAAGGATGTGATCTTTTCCAAGCATAATCTGGACTACTTGAAAAACTGAATTGGTGGGAACCCTTCTCTGAGAATCACCTGCTCCTGGCTTTGAGCTTAACTTGCATTGCATTGTTATTTCAGGGACATCTTGTAGGGCTCCCCTCCTGCATCACCTCTTTTTCTTGTGGTTGTTGCAAACAGTAGTTCTTCATTTCCAAGGGCTTCCTACAAGTTGCTTCTATCTATGTACAGACCTTTCTTTTGTGCCATCATTTCCTTTTGGAGTCATAGATTGACAAGTAAATTGTAAAAGCAACTAAAACTATTGGTTTATACTTTTATAATGGGTCTTTCAATAATAGACAAAGTGGATTTCCTTCCACAAGACACAGAATCTTCATCCAAGAAGGTGACCCTATTCTATAGAAATAGCTCATCAAGACCTCATATTGCCAAGATAATGTTGTTCTACATTCACACATTCGAATGACACAGAAATTCCGCCCCTCAAGAACGCTGACTGCTCTCTAAAGATGACTTTGCCTTAATCGGCATCATGGAGGCACGGATCTTGGGAGCTTGTATTTGTTGTTGATTTTTCCCTGAGAGGTTGTAATCCAGCCTGGCTCTTACTTCTGAGCACATATCCCCCACACAGAAGATATTAGTATGTCTAACATGTGATTTTTATGCTCCATAGGGTCTGCTGGATCTAGTAATTGTGTCAGAGATAAAGATAAACAAGGAACAACTGGACCAAACAATCCCTGAGGGGCTCCAGTAAGGACGCAAGATGCAGGATTTTGGTGGAACAGCCCTGGAGCATTAAAAGAACAGCACATCTTGACAATAGTTGTCTAAAGAACACTCTATTTAATCTGCAAAGCTGCTACAGATCTGCCTGCTAATTTTGTTTTTGTACATGTATGTGTGTGTGTATGTGTTTGGATTTCCACCAGTCGAAGGGTTTCGCAAAATCTCTTTCTTACAAGACATTAGGTTGAATAAGAAAGTCAAGAACTGGAAATAACCTAGTTTTCTCCTTACATGCTTGGAAATCTCCCTAACTTAAAGCAGCTGCCAGCAAGGTGTGGGCTTCTGTTCTTTGAGAACGGCTAGGAGCACAAGATGGGTCACATTAGCATGCATGGGGTTTGATTAATGCCAGAGACAAGAACAATTGTCTTAACTAAATTCATTTCTTCCCTGGAGCCCAGACAGTGATCTGCACTGGTGTAACTAACAGGAATCTGTGGCAACATCTGAAAATCAGGAAGCTGTTTATCAGAGAGGCAAATTGCCGTTACTCTGAGTTCTCTAGAGCTTGTCTCTCGAAGGCCTGTGCGTTGTATTCAGCATGTCTGGGGCCTCACTTTACACATTTGTTTTATGATTTCAGGTGAAGGCAAGGGAGCTATTCTGGATGGACCAGAGCTCCAAATCTGATATAAATGGTGGCTTTTAGGACTCATTGATTATTTTATATAAATGAGCCAGTACCTCTTCCACATATCAACTGCAATAGAGTCTTATTAGCTAGTAAAATTGACAAACTGAATTACCTCGACAGGATGTCATTTGTTATGGGCAATCTCGTTTTTTCCTCCTTTATCGATTGTGGTAATTTATAGCCCGGTCTAGTCTATCTCTCTGGGCCAGGCATACACATGGCCTTATCCTGAATAAGCTGCTACCACAGGTGTTCACTGGGGGTGGGGTCTGGCCTCTGTTTCAGGGCTTGTTGTAGATTTGAGGCCTTAGTGTGGTGTGGAAATCTAGTTCTTCCTTTCCCGTTCCTTGTCCACCTTTATACACTTGCACACCAATGCACATACAATCCTTAAAGTGTGAGGAAGGACATATTAGTTTTAAAAATACAATTTTGTCCATAAAAGGACATCTTAAAGAGTATCAAGAAAAAAGTTTTAAAATTATTCTATCTACAATTCTAATTCTAGTAGACTAAATGGATTTCATCCATATTTCTTAGTTAGGGACTCTCCATATACAGTAGTTGCACTCTTTTTTTTTCTTTTTTCACTGCTTGTAAATGTAGAGATGCATTCTTAAGAAATATTCCCAGTGGCTTGGGAGGCTGAGGCAGGAGGATCGTGAGTTCAAAGCCAGCCTCAGCAAAAGCAAGGCACTAAGCAACTCAGTGAGATCCTGTCTCTAAATAAAATAAAAAATAGGGCTGAGGAGGTGGTTCAGTGGTCCAGTGCCCCTGAGTTCAATCCACAGTAACCACATCCCCCCCCTGCCCCTCAAGAAAAAGAAATATCTCCAGGTATAGAAGATTAAGAACTTTGGTGAAGAAATTAGTTTCTTGTGGTCCCAAGCATGTAAGGTCTTTGGCACTTCTATTCCCAATTATTCAGTGACTACTTCCACTTTTCCTGATCCATTTTCATCTCCTACACATTTCCCTTATTTTGGAGCTATCTATATTCACTAGTTTAACTAATCTTAAGTTAGAACTACTTTTAAATGTTTTGACATTATATATTTTTAGTTTGATTTCATGATGATGAGAGGTGTAGTCCAGAGACTCATTTGATAGATTCTTCCTTATAATGTTCGATTAGTTCACTGTGTAGCAGGTTCAGCCTTTTCAATCACAGTTTTCACCCAAGAATTCATTAAAGTGCAATTTTAAAAAAATCATAATAGCTTCAAATGCATTTTGAAAGCCCACGGGAGATAATGATTACAAACAAGGAATCATAAAGGAAACCTGGTTTCCTGCCTATTACAAGAAGTGATTCTAATTAACATTACATCTGTACAAAAGAAATACTCAAGGCCAAAATAGGGGAATTGAATTTGTAGGATGCTCTTTCTGTGGTTAATCATTTGCTAAAATGCCCAGAATCTTAAAAAAAAAAATTAAACAATACTCTTAGAAAAGAGGCTCTGAGCTGGAGAGCATGTGAAGGTCCCTCTCTGTGTGCTATTATAATTGTGAGTCACCTCTGTGGTCACACGGGACATCCAGCAATAGGCCACACATGGACCACGTGGCTTTCAGCAGAGGGGTCACTCTTGCCCAGAGTTCCCATGCTTCCATAGCTCTCCTGGAAGGACCTGACCCACTTCCTCCCCAGAGTCACAGTAGAGTCCACTTCCAGTTTCCAGATCAGCCTCTAGAAGTCTAAAGCAAGATTCAAATGTTTAGGCAGCCCCAGACTCCAGAAGACAGGTCCAGTGATGGGCTGAGGTGGGAGTTCCCTGCTGTATCGTTTTATCTATAAAATGGTGTTGCTTTTTCTTTGGGAAACCGACTCTGAGATGGAGTTCAGTGTGCTGTTTAGTAGGGACATTTCTAAAGGATGCACTGTCCATGATATCAACACCCAGGGAAGGTAGTGAAGAATTGGGCTTCACATTGTCTGATCCCATGGAGAGCTCTAAGCTAAAACAGCCCATTAGAGTTGTCCTGCACAGAACCCAAATAGCCTCTACCAGTGACCCAGGCTGGCTCCCTGTATCTGACAGACAAAGGCTGTCTACAGCAGCCTTCTAGGAGCTAGGCCGCGTCCTTCCTTGAAGTGGGATCTGGCTCATCTCATCCACACAAATGGCAGGTCCATTGGCCATTGGTCAGCCCACTGCACCTTGGTCTGTATTTGTTCTTCTTACTTGAATGTTCTCAGTGGTACAGAACACTCCCACATGGGATGAGTTACATGCAGTGGGTTTATTACTAACACTGACGCAATGAGAGACAAGACAGCCCAAGGTTTAGGGTAAACTGGTAACCCCAGGCTCAGGAAAGCTGACCAGAGTGGACAAAAATCTCATCTTTATGTGTCCCACTAGCACCATAGTCGGTGGGGGGACTTCAGAGGAAAGCCTGTGTATAAAACCCCAGGGCAACAAGATTCACTGGGCTAAAGTTGAAAGACGTCTTATTTCTAGGGGAGCAGGAGAGCCCACGCCCTTCCAGCCAACGCCTCTGCATCTCAGGACACTACATTCCCAGGATGTTCTGCAGTTGTCCTCAAGAAGTACAAGTGAGAGATTTCACCCCCTGGATTTTCCAGCAATAACACATACAAAAATACAGCACAGGGTCTGTTGTGCTTCACAAATGCCAGCTGTTGGTTAGTTGTAGACGCTCGTCATCTTCAGGATTAAGAAAAGTGAAGTTGTGTGCTTTCATGCAGGTCAGGATTCATACCCACCCAGTTTCCAGTCCACTGAGATGTCAACCGCAGTTTCAAGTTCCCGTACAGTTCTGAGAATGCTCCTTATTGTCTCTGATTAGTTAACAAGTCCCAAGCCTGAATCAATTACTGGGGCCACAAGGAGCTCTGCTACGTGTTCTCTCGGAACCTAATGTCCATTTCACTCACTTCTGATACCTGACTCGGGAATGCAGCACATG